GATGATGATGATGATGATGGTGATGATGATGATGATGATGATGATGATGATGATGATGATGATGATGTTGATGATGATGATGGTGATGATGATGCTGATGATGCTGCTGATGCTGATGCTGATGCTGATGCTGATGATGATGATGCTGATGATGATGGTGATACTGATGCTGATGTTGATGCTGATGCTGATGCTGATGCTGATGCTGATGTTGTTCATGATGATGATGATGATGATGATGATGACGATGATGATCATGATGACGATGATGCTGATGATGGTGGTGGTGCTGATGGTGATGATGATGGCGATGCTGATGATGATGATGTGGGCTGATGCTGCTGCTTATGATGTTGATGATGATGCCGATGATGATGATGATGATGATGATGATGATGATGGTGATGCTGATGGTGATGATGGTGATGTTGATGATGCTGATGGTGACGCTGATGATATCGATGATGATGTCGATGACGGTGGTGATTATATGATGATGTTGATGATGATGTTGATGTCTATGGTGAGTATGATGATGATTGTGATGGTGGTGTTGATGATGATGCTGATGATGGTGATGGTGGTGGTGATGATGTTGATGGCGATGCTGATGAGGATGATGATGCTGATGGTGATGATGTTGATGGTGTTGATGATGATGAAGGTGAAGATGATGCTGATAATGCTGATGATGGTGATGATGCTGATGCTGATGCTGCTGATGATGATGATGATGCTGATACTGATGCAGGTGATGTTGATGATGCTGCTACTGATGGTAAGGATGCTGACGATGATGATGTGTACGCTGATGTCGATGATGATGATACTGATGATGATGATGATGATGCTGATGATGATGATGATGATGATGATGATGATGATGATGATGATGAGGATGGTGATAATAATGATGATGATGGTGATGCTGATGACGATGATGATGCTGATGATGATGGTGACGATAGTTATGATGATGTTGATGATGATGCTGATTATGCTGATGAGGATGAGGATGATGATGATTATGCGGATGATGAGGAAGATGCTGCGGATGAGGAAGAAGAGAAGGAGGAGTGAAAGAGGGGAAGGCGAAAGAGGAGACGGAGAAGGAGACGCAGAAGAATAAGGAGAACGAGGACGACGAGGAGGAGGATGAGGAGGAAGACGAGGACGATGGTGAGAATGAAGAGGAGAAAGGGTTGGAGGAGGAAGAAGATGATGATGATGAGGAGGAGGAGGAGGAGGAGGAGGAGGCGGAGGCTGAGTCGGCGGCGGAGGCGGAGACAGAGCGGAGGCGAGGCGGAGGAGGAGGAAGAGGAGGAGGGGGCGGCGGAGGAGGAGGAGGAGAAAAGGAGAGATGGGAAGGAGGAGGCGGATGGTGATGAGGAGGAGGAGGAGCAGGTGGAGGAGCAGGAGAGAGGGGGAGGAGGATGAGGAGGGGGACGAGGAGGAGGAGAATGATAATGAGGGAGAGGAGGCGGAGGAGGAGGTGGAAGGGGAGGGGGAAGAGGACGATGAGGAGGAGGAAGAGGAGGAGGAGGAGGAGCAAGACGAATCGTACAAATCTAGTACTATAAGTAATATTAATCGTATTACTAACAGCAGCGTCAATACGAACAATATTGTCAACATGATTACGGAGGCTATGAGTAATAACAGAAATACGGATAGTACTAGTAGTACTATTCATACCACTAGTAATGGACATAGTAACGATACTACTGCGACTAATAATAGTAGGAACAACACGTATAGTAGCAGTAGTAGTATTACTAACATTTACGAATACCATGACACATAAGAAGAGGAGGAGGAGGAGGAGGAGCGGGTGAGGCGGAGGAGGAGGCGGCGGAGGAAAGAGAGACGGGAAGGAGGAGGAGGAGGCGGAGGAGCAGAGGAGGAGGAGGAGGGGGAGGCGAGGAGGATGAGGAGGAGGACGAGGAGGAGACGATGCGAGGAGGAGGAGAGGGGGGAGTAGGAGGAGGAGGAAGAGGAGGAGGAGGAGGAATGAGAAGGAAAGAGGAGGAGGAGGCGTTGGAGGAGCAGGAGAGGAGGAATTGGAGGAATGATGATATAAAGACACGGATGAAGGGGAGAACAGGGGTGGGGGAGGAGTAGGAGGAGGAGGGAGGAGGAGGAGAGGATGAGGAAGGAGGAGGAAGGAGGAGGAGGAGGAGGAGGTAGTAAGGAGGAGAGGTAGAGGAGATGAGAGAGGAGGAGGAGGAGGAGGAGGAGGAGGAAGAGGAGGAGGAAAGGAGCGGCGGAGGAGGAGGAATGAAAGGAGAGAGGAGGAGGAGGAAGGAGGAGGAGGAGGAGGAGAAAAGGATGAGCAGAAAGGAGAAAGAGGAGAGGCAAGGATGAGGGGGAAGGAGGAGGGGGAGGGGGAGGGGAAGAGGAGGAAGGGAGGCGGCGGATGAGAGGAGGCGGATGAGGGGAGGAGAGGATGGGAAGGATGAGGAGAGGATAACGGGAGAGTGGAAGGAAGTGGAGGAGGAGAAAAAGGAGAGAGGGGAAGGCAGAGGAGGGAGAGGAGGAGGAGGACATAGAAGGGAAGAGCAGAGAGATGAAGAGGATAAGGAGGGGGAGAAACGAGAGAGGGGAAGGAGGATGAAGAGGAGGAGGACGAGAAATGAGAGAGGGAAAGGAGGAGGAGGAGGAAGAAGAAGCGGAATACAAATGATAACACTAAGAATGGTACTCATACGAAAAACAAACAACAAACGATCATCATAATAACAACAAACAGACGAACCACATTACTAAGAGGAGGAGGAGGGAGAGGAGGAGAAGGAGGAGTAGGAGGAGGAGGAGGAGTAGAAGGAGGAGGAGGAGGAGGAGGAGAGGAGGAGAGGAGGAGGGGGGGAGGAGGGGGGAGGAGGGGAAGGGGGGGAGGAGGGGGAGGGATGGAAGGAGGGTGAGGGGGAGAAGAGGGGAGGGGGAGGGGAGGGGAGGGGAAGGAGCGGAGGAGGGGTGCGGGAGGAGGAGGAGGATGATGAGGAAGAGGAGGAAATGAGGAGGAGGAGGAGGAGGAGGAGGAGGACGAGCTAGGTGCGCTCGCATTATATCTGACGTCCCACCCCGCCCTCCCATTCCTTACCATAGCGCCATAGCGTATGTATCCTCTGTATTCGCACAGGTGGATGTTGATCAGGGCAATGATCGCGAGCGGGTGCGCGATGCATGGTAGAGTACGGCATGGCATGGCGTAGAAGAGCACGGCAGAGCGTAGCATGCCATAGCATGGCGTGGCATTGTGCAGTGAAGCATTGTATCACGATGCATTGCAACGCAAATCATGGCATCGCACAGCAGCGCAGAACACAACACCGCACATCATGTCATGACATGGTGTGCCAGATTCTTTGGAGGGTAAGTAGATCGTCTTCGAGAGGTCTGGGCCGGTCTGGAGTCGTGGCGCCATGTCTAGCTCCTTGGATTTCCCGAACAGCTCCACACAAGGCGGGGCTGATGAAGAGCACCCGCTGGCTCTGCTTCCAACATCGCCATCTCACTTGATACTTCCAAAATTCAACGAGTCGTCACCGAATTTGTAATCATTTCCGATGGTATTTTCGGGGAACAATTTTTGGATTTTGTGGATTATCTGGAAGGAAGGCCAGCGCTGCAGCGGGATCACGATTCGGAATGAGCGGAAGCGCGGAAATGAGGCTGGCGGTGCGAAAACGCAGTTCTTGGGAATCTTGTGTGTAAAAAACAGTACGCGGAGGGGGGCTAGATATCTTCTGGACGTTATCAGGGGAGAGAGGAGAGTAGTATTCATATTGTGTAAATTGTAGAGGGGGAGGTGGAGGGGGAGGTGGAGGAGGAGGAGGAGGAAAAACAGGAGGAAGAGGAGGAGGAGGAAGAGGAGGAGGAGGAGGAGGAGGAGGACGAGGATGGAGGAGGAGGTGTGCGAGACGCCGGAGACTCCACCCCTCGAGCCGCCTCTGTGCAGGCGCCGCGGCGCCCGCGGGGGCCGCCGGCAGGAGCGGCGGCAGAGGCGGCGGCAAGGGCCAGGGCAAGCAGTCCAGAGAGGCCTTCCGCCGAGATGCCCTCGAGGCGTCAAGGGGCAACTGGGGGGGGGATGCAGTACAGCGAGCCCGCGTAGGCCAACACAGGTCAGGGTAATCGATGAGCGTCGAAGAGTAATAATAGTAATGATAGTAATACTGCTCATAACAGAAATACCACTACCACTACGACTACTACGACTACTACTACTACTACTGCTACTACTACTACTACTACCACTGCTACTACTACTACTACCACTACTACTACCATTACTACTACTACTACTACTACTACTACTACTACTACTACTACTACTACTAGTACTACTACGACTACTACTACTTACTTACTACGGACTACGACTACGGGACTACGACTACGACTACGACTACGACTACTAATACTACTACTACTACCACCACACTTCTACGGATTTCACACTACTACTACTACTACTACTACGACTACTACCTACTAATACTAGTACTATTGCTATTGTACTACTAGTATACTTACTACTTACTACTATACTACTACTACTACTACTACTACTACTACTACTACTTACTACTATAACTACTACTACTACGACTACGACTACGACTACGACTACGACTACTACTACTACTACTACTACTACTACTACTACTAACAATAATAGCAATAATACTACTAATGCTAATAATAATAGCAGTAATAGTGATCATATATTATTATCATTATTATTCATAATCAACAACAATAAGAATACTACTACTAATAATAATAATAATAGTAATAATAATAATATGAATAAGAACAGCAATCATAACAATCAAAATGCGAGTAATAGGGCCATAAACAGAAAGTTTTGTGGTCCGCGCGGATTTCTTGGATCCGCGCCCGGCCCCCCCCAGCGGCGCCTCCGGCGCCGCCCCTGGCGCGCGCCGCGCGCCAGGGAGGGGGTCCAGCGCAGATCCAAGAAATTCGCGCGGAACGCCAAACGTGTATGCTTATGCTGCCTCTCCTTCTTCTAATTGGGGGGATACAGCACAGCCAACCAACCCGCGTAGGCCAACACAGGTAATGATAATGGTAATAGATGGGCGCGCAATCCGTAAGTTGTTTTCAGAAGAGCAGCGATTTATTCTTAAAACGAGAAGCGGATTCATTGAAATTCCCCCCTAAGCAAAACTGGACAGAGGAGTACTTAGTCAACGCCCAAACCAGTGAATTAAATTCAATGACGAATTCTCTAATTTGGGGGCGTCTTTCTAAATCCGGAATCCTGTCATCACCACCAGGTTGGTCGAGATGAGCGACTTTCCAAGGTTACCTTTGCATCCTTCCCCTTCGGCCCATCCTCAGCCGCCTTCGCGGGCCGCGCCCCGCTTGGAAATTGTCGACATAGCCTTCCAAGGCCCGTGCATCCTTTTCGCGCATCCGTCTTACACGGATCGGCTGTGGATTCGTGTCGCTCCGACGCGGCAGGCGACCCCTCCGCGGGCGTCCCAGGTGGAAAACGCTGCCACTGGTTACCAGTTTGAAACATCTGCCTATCCCTATGTTTGACATCACCTCACCTCGATGCCGATCTTAAGGATTCCCTCAGTTTCTGAGGGCCTCTCCCTAAGATGGTCCTCGCTTTTTGCTCGCCCATGTTAGGGATAGGGATAAGTTCGAGGCTGGTGAACTGGCCCAGCATCGGCCAACACATGGAAGGACCTGGCGATCGACGAGCCGCCGATCGCTCACGGTGGAACGATCCCACGCGGTGTCGGACACCAACGCTGGGGTCGCCACGACGCGAACCTGCCTCTGGCACAATACGGGAGCGCACCGACCCCCTGCCGCACACTCGTCGCCGAGAGGGACCAGACAGCTCATTTCGCGCAGGGGCGCGCGGATTTGCGACCCGGGGTCCTGCCGCTGATCGGTCGGCATGGGGGAGCCAGGCCATGAGGGAAGCGGGTCCTGGACTCCCGGGGGCTGCCCCCAGGACCAGCTCTTCATCTTGGGCCTGCTCCTGACAGTCCCAGGGCCCGTGGAGGGCCCCGGGAGTCCGAAAGCAGCGGGAAACCTCCGGACCCGTTTCCCTCAGGGCCCTTCCGTCCCCCGGCGACGGCTCCAGCTCGATGCGCCCCCCCCCTGAGCCGGCCCCCCCTGAGGCGTGGACCAAGGCTCTCTTCAGCGAGGCGGAGGGCGGCGGCGCCACCGATGGGACCGCCGGGCTCCAGAACTCGAAGGGCCAGAAGATTTGCACAGATAGAGGGGGAACAGGTGCGGTCGGGCCCAGGACAGAAGCAGGTCCTTCAAGAGACCCTGCGCCGGTCAAACTGGGGAACATTCGAGGGTGCCCTTCCCCCAGGATGCACACGAACATCCAGCAGACGCGAAGAACACTGGAGTACCCTCCCCCCCCGACCTCGATCTGATACCTCGGTCCGACTGCACCCATACCGCTGCCCTTCGCCCGTTTTCCTTCTTTTCGGCCTCATGGGAGGCCCTCGTCGCCTCGCAACACCACCCCGCCATGCTTCTCAGCCTCACGCCTCGATTCCTCCGGCACAGTCTCCCGACACCCACAGCGCCTGTGCCCTGCCGCGCCGCGCGCCGGCTCGCTCTCCGACGGGACCCCCCTCGGCGCTCCTTTTGGCGTCCCCAAAAATTATTATAAATTTCTTGAGGATCGCGTTTTGTTCCTAACCATCGGTGGTGTTGGGTCTCGTTTTTGAAGAGACAGGCGCCCTGCGTCCCTCCTTCCTCTCCTCTCCTCTCCTCTCCTCTCCTCTCCTCTCCTCTCCTCTCCTCTCCTCTCCTCTCCTCTCCTCTCATCCTCCTCCTCATCCTCCTCCCCCTCCTCCCTCCTCCCATCCGCCTCGTCACCTCCCTGCGTTCACTCGCCCAGTACAGCGCTTCGTGGCCCCATAGGGAGTTCCACCGAAGGCTCCAGTGGCACAGGCCGCATGCGTCAACGCCTCACAGGACAGCGTTTCGTGGCCCCATAGGGAGCTCCACCGAAGGATCCAGTGGCACAGGCCGCATGCGTCAACGCCACCCAGGACAGCGCTTCGTGGCCCCATAGGGAGCTCCAACGAAGGATCCTGTGGTACAGGCCGCATGCGTCAACGCCCCCCAGGACAGCGTTTCGTGGCCCACAGGGAGCTCCACCGAAGGCTCCAGTGGCACAGGCCGCATGCGTCAACGCCACCCTGGACAGCGTTTCGTGGCCCCATAGGGAGCTTCACCGAAGACTCCAGTGGTCCAGGCCGCATGCGTCAACGCCACCCAGGAAAGCGTTTCGTGGCCCCATAGGGAGCTCCAACGAAGGATCCAGTGGTACAGGCCGCATGCGTCAACGCCCCCCAGGACAGCGTTTCGTGGCCCATAGGGAGCTCCACAGAAGGCTCCAGTGGCACAGGCCTCATGCGTCAACGCCACCCAGGACAGCGTTTCGTGGCCCCATAGGGAGCTCCACCGAAATTGGTACTCACAATGCGGTAC